TTCTGTGAAAAGCTGAGGTGTCTTAAAAGGATCCATGTGATGGATAGATGAATACATAACCATCATAGTTTACATAGTGCCACAGATATTTAAGAAATAAATATGTGAGAATGATCTGTTTAAAGGCCAAAACTCAAAATAAGCTAAGATGCTTCTGAGATCACAGAGAGCATTTAAATATGTTTGGAACAAGAGCAACAAGAAGGAAGAGGTTCATTGTCTGAAAAAGATAATCGCAAAGGTTGCTATTTATAGACAGTAATCAGATCTATACTTTTCCTATTTTACTTCTAGTATATACTTGAAATACCAGAATTACTTTTCCAACAGTAAAAAGTAAGACAAGCAACCTGAATCAGGAGAAATTATAAACCATAAGAAGGTAAGATAGTGAGAGTATCAGTTTAAATGAATTTACATTTTCAAGACTCAAATGAATTGCCTACCAGAAGCTGAGGAGACTCATAATGGGTTTCAGAGTTACTATCAGCATTTTTTGCAAAATCATGGAGAATGTAGGAAATACCAAAATGCTGGAGAGACAAATGCCCCACTTGCCAGAAAGGAATAAACTAGGTTATGAAAACTTAGCCCAGTTTCCTAATATAAACTACTCAGTAGCAAAATTTGAAGATACTATTTTTTAATGCAAATTTTTAGAGAGGAAGGAATAGACACTGTACTAGCTTCATAACACTGTGACAAAATGTCTGGGAAAATCAGTTTAAAGGAAGAAAAGTTTACTGTAGTTTGTTTCATTGCTCTGGGACTGAGGCGAGAAGAGCTTAGTGAGCAAAGCTGTTTATCTCATGATGGTGGGAAGTAGAGATAATGGGGAAGAGTCAGAGCGGAAGGGACTGGAGACAGAGATAGTCCCCAGGTCATGCCCTGTCATCTGTTCCTTTCAACTCGGCTCTACCTCCAGTTTCTATCACCTCTCAATAAGACCATCAACTTAGTCTCATCAGTGGATTAATTCACTTATGACATTAGGACCTTCACGATCCAATCACTTCTTGAAAGCACATCATCTGGCAACCAAGCCCTAAATACAATGAGCCTTTTTGGGAGACATTTTAAATATTAACTACAACAATGATCATGATTCATTGTGAATTCATGAAAACAAGACTTATCAAACTGTTCTTTTTTCCTCAGTTTTGTAATTACTAGATTAGAAAATAGTAAAGACATACCTGACTTTAGCAAGTATTTGATAAAGTCTCCTTGTAAAATAGATGATGAAATGTTGGTAGACAGATTTATAGATTGTCTGCATAGCCAGGCCAATGGCAGCGTGCCATAGGTTTATCCAAATAATAACCAGTTAATATATACACCGATTCCTCAGAGAGAACTGGTAGTGAATATTAATTTACATGTATTCAGGAAGTGGAGATTTGTAATTCTGAGTTCTTTTGACTAAGGATTTGTACATTGAAACTTGTACCTGGATAATAGTTATGTGTCATATGGTTTTCCAGCCATGCTATTTGTTTAATAGCAGCTACATTAACCTCAAGTGGAAGTTTTTCTCTTGAAATGGTGTTTCTGTGAACTAACAAAGTAAAGGCAGAAGTTTAGTAAGTAGACATTTTCAGTAGTATTTTTTTGCATTACTGTTTCTGCTGGCCTTCAGTAATACCACAGTTGCCACCTATTCAGGGTATTTATACTTTTTTTGAAAAGAACTACAAGTCAGGCATAGTGATACCTGTCGGTGATACCAAGCTGAGGTAAGAGGATTGCGATTTTGGGCCCAGACTAGACAATTTTAGTGAGATCCTACTAAAAAAGAACAAAAGAAAGGGGGTTAATGACATGGCTCAGTGGAAAAGGCTTGGATCCAATTCCCAGTACTAGAAAACAATATACTAGAACAGTACTAGAACCATAATATTCTGTCCCCTTAGGAAGGTTCTTTTGGTTTCTGAGATAAGAAATCCACGAAGACTGCCATATCCAGCATACTTTATTACTAATTGTTAATCTTAAAGAATGTCAACTCATACAGTTAAGTCATCAAAATTTATATTTTATTGATCTTAGAGTATTTTGTCTCCAACCTCAAAAAAGAATATTTTTTGAATATCTGTCAATTTTATGTAATTTTTACTTTTTATGTGCTTAGGATCAAACACAGAGCCTTGATCATGGTAAATAATAGTTCTATCACTGAGTTATTTTAAATAAAATATGTAATTTTTTTATAAAGTTGTTCCTCATCCTTTTCTTTATAACTATTAATTGTAGCATTATATTCAGAATCCAAATAAAATTTGTGGGTAAAAACAGGGCAATTCTAGTCACGATAATTGCAGTTTTTTAAATTGAGCCCTTTCTTTCTGACTTAACTAGTCTTAAAATCTGATAGTCCCTTAAAACAAGAACAGAGTTGTTTTAATTCCATTTCCCTTAAGAGGCCCATCATGCTATATAATTTGTGGTCCAGAATTGTATTATGGTTTTATCTTTTAAATGTGTCAAAGTTATTGACTATTATTTTTGTATATTAAAATTCAGACTAGATTGTTAGAATTTTATAGTTATCTCTGTAACATATATAGCTTAAAGTTTTAAATTAAAAAAAGAAATCACGAGTTAGAAGTATTCAGTGTCTTCTTTAATTATACAGATGTTTTCATTTATCCAAATTACTTTTCTGAAAATATATTGGATAGCAGAGTTTTGGATATTGGAACCTATGTTATTATTTTAAATGGGGAAAAAACAATGATGTATTTTCTGTCCATTCAAAAATCTACTGAGCTTTAACAGCAATCTACCAAAACTTTTGTGTAGTGTTTATAAAACATTTGAGACACTGTTTAAGTTTTAGAGTTCTTTGTAAACTCATTATTGGGTACATTTTCGTTCGGTAATGTACCATTCAGTATTATGGATAAGGTTTTTTCTTTTACCAGCCGTAAATAAATACTGTATTATAAGCAAACAATGAAGTAATATGATTCCCTAATTGACTTGGGCTAGTGGAACCCTTAAATGCTTGAGAGAAGCAACCTCTGAAACTAGGGATTCTTCTGTGTCCCTCCCTACAAATATCTTTCAGGTGGATTTCCTTTAATCAAAAAGATTTCCCCCTTCTTCATTATGTTTTTGGCAAGGCAAAAGGAGTTGCTTTGTTTCATGTTTATTGTCTAGAGTCTGAATGTTATCTCTGAACTGATTTCTGGTCTATATTAATACCCTCCCACACAAGTCATGCTTATTCATACATGTAAAGAAATGCCAAAAGAGAGGATTGGAAATATAATATTATGGATAATAATTTTTAAAATAAGTTGATTGATAGTAACCTTTTGGTTTATATAACCTTGTCATAAGGATGTTAGCACAAATCATACAGAGAACATACTTTAATCACCTAGTCATTTCTTACTCAAAGAGAAAATCTGTCTTAGCATTGATCTCGTCTAGATATCTGAAGTCTTATAAAACTATGTTTGGACTGCTTTGATTTTCATTTAAGCTCAACTTTTATTTTAGGTTCACTGGTATAAGATTTTTTATAAACCTCTGTTTACTATTTCTTTGATAACCCTAGTATTCTCTGTTTATTTCCCATTTTCCCTAAAACTAGTAGGGAATTATTCACTCTCATTTTTCACAGTGTACAGTCAAGAAAGTGGGCCATATCTAGTGACAGGCATAAAGCTCTGAGCAAGGGCCCTGTTATGGCCTTTTCAAAGAGCAGAAAGATATCACTGTATCACTAAGTTTGAAAGGGGGAAGAGTAAGAAGCTAGGTCAGAGATTGCCAGAACCAGAACATATGAGACCTCCTCTGCCCTCAACAGAAGTTTGGATTTTATTTCAAGTGCAGCAAAAAATCCCAGCACTGAGGCAAGAGGATCTGAAGTTCCATCCCAACCTTAGTGAGTTAGTAACTTAGTGACTTAGCAAGACTCTGTCTCAGATGGAAAAGTGGGTGCTGGAAGTGTATGTAGCTCAGTGCATAGGTCTTGCGTTCCATCCCCAGTATCTCAGAAAAGGAAAAGTTCAGAGAGATATAAAAACAGTAACAGTGATCTGATCTGCATTTTAAATCTCTAGTTACTGTGTGGAGGTGGGGGGGGGCAGGAGGAGACCAACACAGATGCAGGGAAGGACTGAGCTGCAGCTCAAAGATAGAGTGCTTTTTCAGCATGTACAAGGCCCTGGCTTCCATGCCCAGCAGGCTTACATTTAGGTAGTATAAATCAAATTGGAGAGCAGTGGACTATATTCTGGAGGTACAAATGTCAAAATTATTAATGAATTAGATGCAGGTACAGAAGTGAAAAGGAGAAATCAAGGATGACTTCTAGCTTTGAAGATTTTCCACCAGTTGATAGTGCCATTATTTTCTAAGACTGAGAAAACTTGGGGAGAGGAAGACATTGTGGGAAGGTAGAAGTAAGAGTTCTCTTTTGGCTGTCTAAAATTTAAGGCGCTTGTTTGAAATTTCCAAATATATATGCAATATATATGAATGAATTTGATTAGCTTGGAGCTTAGTAGAGAGAGGTCAGGCAGGGTTAAGGACATGATATGAATTTGGAAGCATAGGTAGTATTTAAAGACATCGGACTAAACGAAACTACTTTGGATATTTGTACTATTCTGTGACCAGTGCCACCTTCTTCTGCCATGTAAAACTATACTGATACTGAATTTCAGGTACATATTTTAGTCGTAGCATATGTAACAGTTTGGTGCTAGCCAAAGTAGTGGCACATGCTTATAATCTCAACACTCAGGGAGTCTGAAGCAGAAGGATCACAAGTTTGAACCCAACCAGGGTTATTTTAGCACTTTAGCAAAAACCTGTCCCATGCTGCCCCTCCACCAAAGGCAGGGGATGAAGCTCAGTGTGATGATCCTGGGTTCAGCCCCCAGTACTGCAAATAAATAAATTAATAATAATAATGTAATAATAATAATTTGATGCCTTCTTTAGTTTTATATACTTAAGTAATGTTTTGTTTTCTATTTTTGTAGGCAAAGTCATTAATAAAGATTTGCGACATTACCTGAGCCTTCAGTTTCAAAAAGGATCAATTGATCACAAACTACAGCAAGTGATCAGAGATAATCTCTACCTGAGAACCATTCCATGTAAGTATATGTTGGAATAAAAAAGAGACCAAAATACTCTTATTAACTAATTAAACATCTAGAAATAATCCGGTAGAGTGTCACATGAAAGTTTTAAGACTAACTTGGGGATAAGAATGAAATGAAACTGGATAAAGAAAAAAGTTAAGTTTTCAGAGGATTTCAGGGTTTTGGTTTTTAAGAGTCATAAATTCAGAGATTTTATGACTTTTCATATCTTGTTATCTAGGTTTTGTTCCTACAAATCAATTTCTAAAGTCTATGCGTAACTTCTAGGCTCTGGATGTCTAGTAAACTGCAAATTAATGTTTTTTCAGAATCTTACTAGCTTTAAAATCTCCCTTTCCCAATGAGAAAAAAGGTAGGGAAAAAAAAGGTACATGTTGACTTCTTTGTTGTAATCTATTTGAAATTTTTTTCTAGCTATTGGTTTTTGTATTTTTCAAAGGGTCCGATTATTACTGTATTGGTATATTTTTGTAAACATATAACAAGATTCTTACATTTTGGCTTTGATTTAGTACAGGTCTGGGGAACAATAAGCAGTAAACAATGAAGGGCAGGCATGTAAGGACCTTCTTTGTTTTCCTGTTCAATACATTTGTAAATCCTTGTGTACATTAGCTTTTATAATTTATACTTTTCCTTCATCCTTAAATTCCTATCCCCAGTATTTCCTAATTATGCTTTTAAAATATCTATCCCTCTGCATTTCCTTAAACCTGTATCCTTTCTTGCTTGTCCTTCCTTCCTGCCTTGCTTTTGCTTTTGCTTTGAACAACAAATAACATTGTATAGTGGCAAAGAGCTAGATAAAAAACTGCATTCAAAATCTTGACTCTAGCATCTTGGTAGCAGCTTCACTTGGGCAAGTCAGTGTCCCTAAGCCTCAGAATCCCCATAAAATAAGAAAAGCAAGCTCACTTTAAACAATTATTATTATAATTGAAATAAGAGCATGCCTGTAAGTCACTTGACCTAGAGTAGGTACTTAAGCATTGTTTGTCCTCCTCCATTCTAACTGGACACTCTGCCTCTTCTTGTCATCTCAGTTTAGCTCATTTGTTTTTTGAGACAGGGCCTCACTGGCCTTGCACACTGGCCTTGAACTTGCTTATGTAGCTCAAGCTGGCCAAACTCACAACAATTCTCCTGCCTCAGCCTCCCAAATGCTGGGATTACAGGTGTACACCACTTTGCCTGGCTAGCCCATCTTAATTTTCCTTTCCTTTTCTTTCTGTCTCTCTTTTTTTCTTTTCTATTTTTTGTTTGATTTTATTCTTTTTAAATAAACAAACAAAATAAAATAGAATAAAGCCAATCAAAGCAAATCAGTGAAAGTGATACAGACTTTACAACAAGATAATAGCTGACTAGCTTATCTTCTTTAAAGTATACATCATATTCTTGTTTCTCTCTGATTTACCCTTCAAAGACTCCCACTTAACATGCTATAAAATATTCTTTTGTTTTTAAATGACTCCTCTATGATTTCTTTCTATAAATCTACCTTGTCATATTTCAGAATTACAACTCCTGCTATTGTTAAATTTGTGTTTATCTGATGTGCCACTTAATTTTAAATGTCAGTTTGAGTGAATTAAGACACCCCCAGAGGAGTGATTGAATTGTGGGGTTGCTGTACTCATCAGTGGATTAGTCCACCACTGTACATACTGGTTTGCGCTGTTAAGAGGGCCCAGGTAAAGACAGGTCACTGAGGTGTGCCTTTGGAGGGTGTCTCTCTTGCCAGCACACTTTCCCTGGGCCCCGCCTGCTGGGCACCATGAAGGGAACCCAATTGAACACTTCTGTCATGATGTTTCTGCCTAGGAGACAGCAATTCTGGACAGAAACCTAAAACTGTAAGCCAAGTTAGACTGAGCCACGCCTCCTTTAAGTTGCAGATGTTGAGTAGTTTGTATCAGAGATGGGCAAGATGGGCAAGCTAACCAATACCCCTAAAGTATTGTCCATCTTTTTATTCTTGATGTTTCTTAATCTTTTTGTTTTATAAACTATTTCATACTTTACACAGTAGCCAATCTTAAAATTTCCTCTTTTTTTTTTTTGAAACAGAATGTAGTCCAGCCTGGCTTTCAAACTGCAAACCTCCTAACTCAGGCTCCCAAGTGCTGGGATTACAGGGGTGCACCACAATACTGGCTTGGAACTTTGCAAATGTATTCATTATCTTTAGCTTGAGTTTGGCCATGTTTTTCTGTTTTTCCATATGTAAGGGTTTTTTTTTGCTTATTAGAGCCAATTTTTGTATATCTGTCTTTTTTTAAGGAAGGTTTATATCTTTATTCTAATGATTAGGACTCATATTACATAATATTCTTTGTTCTTCCTCTCTCCATTATTTTGTTTTTATCCTTACTATGAATAATACTAAAATTATGAGGTCATCTCTTCTTTTTCTCTCTCTGTCTCATCATCTGTCTTAAGGAATATCTTTTTACTCCTAACAAGTAAAAGTAATTAATAAGTGCGTTCTACTTTCCACATACTTTTCTCATTCTTACCCTGATTTTTAATAGTTGAACTGAATCTATATTTGCAAAGCAAACAGCCATTAATCACATTACTATTCTGTCCCCTTTGTATTCGTTTATTATTTTGTGAATAATACATATTTAATCTTAGCACCAATTCTCATATTATTTCTTAAGTATTGTGGTTGTTTAAAGCTTGTTTTCTGCTAGATTTCCTAGGAAAAGTTCACAGGATCATCTTATCAGTTTTCCTGTGACCTTTATACTTTGATGTTTGTTTGCATAGATACTAAATTTTTGACTCCTTTGTTCCTTATTAGTGTCATTTTTTCTGGCATGAATCATTGCTCTTAAAAAGTCTGATAGCAATCTGATTTTCACTGCTTATATTTTGCCAACATGTTGTATTGGAGGATAACATTTTTAGTTTCATAGCTCTATAGAGTTCTTGTTAAAACAATAAAATAAAGATACACTTTTAAGACCTATCTCTCTTACTGCTCTCTGTCACTTTTACTTGGACCTTTTAAATTTTATTTGTTGTTCTAGTTTTACAGTTTCTCCTTGGTGTGAGATTGTGTCCTGGAAAAGAGCTACAGTTTATTTAGTTTTCATTCATAGAGTCCAAGCACCTGCATCCCTTTCAGATCTTAATGAAACCTCTTAACTTACAAATCAAAATGTGTAAATCTCCTCTATGAATCTAGAAGCAATGATATATTAGTTGTAATTATCACACTGATTTCTAAATATCATTTCACCTTGAAAGATTTCAGTTCTCCTTGGAGAAAATTCTTGTCCCAAACTTGTGACAAGGAAAATATAAATGCTTAAAAGATTATAGGAACACATTAGATGCAGATATCACCTTGAAGGGAAACTTACCAAAATCTAAGATATTTGAACAACAAAATAAAAGAGAAAGACATTTCTGGAGTTTCAGATACTGAACCATAAGTAGATTCCGACTATGCTCCCTGACAGAAAAAAGAAGACTAAACACAAAAAAGTCTTATGATTTCTTCAGTCTGTTACCTGGAGACACTTTCTGGACCTCAGCACAGGCAAAGAAAAGCCAGGCAGGTACAGAGTACAGATCCTATGTTGAGAATATAGAAATCTCAGGTATCTAGAATTTGCAAAGTGGTATCAGCAAAAAGAGAGCAATGAAGTGTGGGGGAAAGGCTCAAGCAATCTAAAAGGACTTGACTATTGCTGCATGCCAAACTGAGAATGTGTAGGACCAGAATCGACAAGGCCAGATACAGAAATTTATGGGAGCTATATGGTTAGCAGCTCAGAGTTTTTATGGGACCAGGAGCTTTTTGTGTGCTTATCAGCTGTTGTAGTCAGAGGTTGTAAGGAGAAGAATTAGAATCGGGACACAGAATTTATATTATTATTTTATGATGGTCACCCAGAGTTAAACACAGAAAATGCAGGAAATCTGTCCACAACACTAAAGACCTAGAACATTCAGCCAAGGGCCTGGATCCCACAGCAATGTCCTGCGTGAGTCCAGATGGAAACCTAGAGCCCATGATGGTGCCTCCCAAAAGTCCAGCTGGAGGTCTAGAGCCCACGAGAAGGACTCACACCAATCTCTTGTACGGATCTGTGCTGGGAAGGCCTGAAGATCAGCGATGAAAGCTAAAAAGTCTATGCCAGCGGGTTGAAGGAGCTATGCTCATAGGTTGAGAGTTCCACACTGGAGCCGAAAAGTCATGCTCATAATAAAGACTAGAGCTGTCCTGAAAAGTGTCACAGCCATCCTCAGGGACACAGAGGTCCCGAGCTTCTCTGATGATTAAGACAGTCGAGTACATGCCAGAAAGCTAGTGTGACGAGTTTCTCCTGGAGATTAAATGGCACAGGTTTTCCCCTCCAGAACCAAGAAGCAATGCTTGATGTAAGGACCAGAGCTCCCCCAAAGTGAACCACAGCCACTCTCACTAACAAGGTCCCACGCTCCTTGGATGACAATGGTCGAACTCACACTGGGGAAGCTAGTCATAATGAGCTTCTTTAGGAGGACCAACGGCTCAAACAGCAACACAGAGAAACCCACAACACCTAGCTTCTCCTTCTCCACATCTCTATTTATGCTGGCAACTTTCCTCAGGTGGAACATCTACGCTCAGCACCATACTGATTTAATTTAACTGGCTTTAAGTTGACCTACAGTTTTTAATCCATATCACCAGCCTAAGCGAAGAAAGCCCTGGAAGCACCCATCTTTATTAGTAGGGCTAAAATAGGCATGCATTAAGCTCTTTTAGGCCCACTCTGACACAGCTTACTTAAGTCCCAAAAGGTTCAAATGGAGAGGGAGAGAAGGAGAGAGGGAGGGAGGGTGAGAGAGAGAGTTTGTTGAGTTGTGTAAAAGAATACAATAAAATGTAGATACTGAATAATAATATTTACAATATTTGGTATCTAGTAAAAATGGCCAGACATGCATAAAAGTAAAAAAATGTAATTGATAGGACTTTTCAAAAGAAAAGTCCTGGAAAAATAAACAGAAACGGAATGATATGGCATTTCTATTCCAGAAATTTTACACTTACTGTAAATATCTTCCAGGATATAGCATAACGAAAGCACAATATAAGCATAATGAAAATAAAGTGGAATTAAAAAAATGCTAGCTGGAGCCATTAACATTTCTTAGATGGGCTAAGAGCAAATTAGAAACTGCAGAAGAAAAGATTAGTGAATGTGAACACATAGCAATATAATTAATCAAACTGAGGCACAAAGAGAAGAGACTGAAAAAGTGAATTTTTTTTTTGTTACAATCAAGTAAAAGGATGGAGATTTTTATTTCTGCCAGGAAGACCTGCCAGTGGATTTATCCTTGTCCTGAATAACTGGAAATTAAACAAGTGATAACTAGCACCTGTTTTCAGACATTGACACACAAGCAGAACAGAACTGTGCTGTGTCCATACTGGCCTGTAGCACAGAATCAAACCACAGTGGGGGAAGCAGAAAAATATTTGAAGAAATGGTAGGTGAGATTTTTCTAAATTTAATGAAAACTATAAACCTGCAATTGTAAGAAGCTCAACAAAACCCAAACAAAAGAAACATAAGCAAAACTCCACTAAGGCACATCATAATCTAAACGCTGAAAGCCAATGATCAAGAGAAAATGTAAATGCCAGAGAAAAATACAGAGCTATGTTACCTGCAAGGAAGCAAAGATTTATCAGTTGAAGCAGTACAAGTGAGAGTACTATGCCAACTGGACTTCTATATACAAAAAAGACTATCTCAAAAATGAAGAAGAAAGATTTTTTTAAGATACAAATAGCTGTGGAAATTTTTCAGCAGCAAAAATATTACTGTAAGAAATACTAAAGGAAATTCTTAAAGTAGAAGAAAAGTAAGACCAGAGCAATAAAACTGAAAGGAAAGTAGGTAACTTTATAATCATAACTCAATAATATCATAGCTACCGAACAACCAGGACAATACATGTTATTTTGTAACACACATGAAACATTTTAATATGTAGTATCATGGACTATAAAACAAGACTCAGTAAATGTAGGAGGAATTAAATAATACCAAATGTGTTATCTGACTAGAATAAGTTAAATTAGAAATAATTAGCAAAACAGTACCTTTAGATATTTGGAAATTAAATGGCATATTTCTAAATATCCCGTGTATGAAAATTAAATCACCAGGGAAATTACAAAATATCGCACACAACAAACACAATATATCAAAAATTTTAGGTTGTAGCTGGGTAGTGTTTAAATGTATAGTATTAGTACTTATATTAACAAGCAAGGCTCTCAAATCAGTGATACAAACTTTTACCTTAAAAATCTAAAAACAAGAAAAGCAAAGTAACACAAAATTAACCAGGAAGGAAATAAAGATAACAGCAAAATTAATGAAATATAAAATAGAAAAAAACCAGTGGGACCCAAAGCTGATTGTAAGAGATCAATAAAATTTACAGATTTAAAAAAATTTTGTAGAGCTTTCTTCTTAAACTCAGAATTTTTTTTAAAAAAGAGAATAAAAATTAATAATACCAATAATGAGAGAGATAGCTTCACCAAAAATCCTGCAGATATTAAGTGGAAAGTAAGGAATATTCTGAACAGTTTTATACCAACAAACTTAGCAACTTACATTAAATGAACAATTTGTTTTACTGACATGTTTGCAGTACATAATGTTTATGTTCCTGTGTGGAGTTGGTACATATACATAATACATTCAATTTCTTTTTTCCTCTTTGTCCCACAACTCTTTGATCCCCCTCCCATTTGGGAAAGATATCTCCATAATAGGAAAAATCCTATTACCCTTTATTTTGCATTTTATTTATATTTTAGGTTTCTCATGTAAGAGAAATTTGTAATATTTAAGCTTGCATGTCTGATTAACCTTATGGCCTTAAGGTGTATCCATTTTTCAATGAATCAAATTTCTTGTAAGACAAAATACTACCAGTGCTCACTCAAGAAGAAATAAATGACATGTTAAAGAAGTTGAATTTATAGTTTGCAACTTTCTCATGAAAACTGTTTTGAACACTTCATAAAGAAATAATACCAATTCTAAAAAAACTCTTCTAAAATATAGAGGAGAGATTGCTTATCAATTCATTCAGAAACATCAAAAGAATAATATTGAGGGGCTGGGAATTTAGCTCAGCAGCATAAGCACCTGCCTTGCAAGCAGGCAGTTGTGAGTTCGATCCCTGGTACCAATAAAAAGGAAAAAGATTTAAAAAAAAAAAAAGAATAATATTGAACCACAAACTCCATGAACATAGACCAAAAATGCTTAGAAATATTTTGGCAAGTCAATACATAGTAGTATATAAAAGAATAATACATTATGAGCAAGTGGAATTTGCCCCATAAGTGCAAGGTTGGTATGCCATTTGAAAATTAATATTGTAGCAGACTAGAGAAAAAAAAAAACATGGAATCTCTCAGTAGATAAAAAGCCATAACAAAATTTAACTTCCACTTTTTCCATTTATGATAGAATCTGTCAGAAAGCTAGCCTGCCATTTATTGCTCTTGGGTCCCTGGCTTCAAATCTATTTTTTTGGTTGCTTGTGCTCCTGGAACATTCCTCTCTTGCCCACCAGTACAGTGTTATCCTTTGTCAGTAGAGGGCGCAAGAAGGACATTGGAGAAAGAAGAGGCTTGTGCTGGTTGGCGCATACCTTTTCTTTTCGTTCCTGCCTTGTGAAAAGATACCCAAATTTCAGCACTTCCTTAGCATTTAGCTTCCCAGTGGTGAGTTTGGTGGCACACCTGTAGGAGACAGACAGCTTCTCAGCAGCCATCCTTGCAACATTAATGTCAGTGTCGTCATGAGTTTTTCCTGCTAACTTCCTAAATTTTAGCAACAGTCCCTGCAAACAACTTTGCATAGGGTTTCTGGCAAGTCAGACAACTGGTTTTCTATCAAATTCAAAACAGTCATAAACTGACCATTACTTCCACCACCACGGGCAACTTGCTGGCGGATTCCATTGTTTTCCATCCAGTTAGTTCCCAGGCTGCCAACCTTGACCCACTAACAGGCAACTCAGCAAGATTCTTTATCAGCCAGTGGACCATAAGCATACCTTCCTTGATAAAATCCGAGTCCCAGACTTTGATAGGGTACCTCCCTTCCAAGTTTGTTCACCACTTTGTTATTCTCCCTCAAAGCTAACATAGTATTCTTTAAAGTTCTTTTTTATTCTGACTTTTAGAGTTCTTGTATTTGCAGTTAATTAGTAATTCTTTAAACATTCCCTATAGTTAATAATTCTTTAAACATTCCGTGTTTGAATTACCTCTAATTTCCTCCTCCTATTTATGTCCTGACTGACACAAACTTGGTAACGATAGTGATCACATGAGGGTGGATCATCTAAAAGGGATTTTGAGGCTGGTTTTGGTTGTGTTTTTGCCTTGAGCCTAGTGCTGAGTTCCTTTCAATGAGAAATAGGATGTTTGTAATTCATGGCAAGCCATAGCATTCCCAGTTTACTCATGATATCACCTGTGCTCAACTGAAGAATTGCCAAACAAACCGAGTTCCTGAGATCCCAGATGGCTGCTACACTTGGCTTTTAGGATAATAGTGTGGGTTTCATATGTGCGATACAAGGTGGGTCATCTCACAAAGGAAAAGAGCAAAATTAAATCAAGTGGTTTACTAGTATTGTGGACTACTAAGACTTTTCCCCCTCTTTTTAAATTAATTATGTAGATCAATAGGCTTCATTTTGGCAAATTCATATGTGCATATAACACTTTGATCATTTTTACCCCTTGCACTTCCCTTTTTTCAGCCATCCCCCTTAGTTTCACAGTTTTCTTTTCTATCGGTACCGGGGATCGAACTCACGACCGCCTGCTTGCAAGGCAGGTGCTTATGCCGCTGAGCTAAATCCCCAGCCCCAGTTTCACAGTTATCAATGTGGGTAGGGGGAATCAATGCATATACTTTTCCCATAACAAGATTTTAATAACGTTTTGAAATTATCTAATGCAGAAATCTGATAAAATAAAACCTTAATGTTTAGCATTTGAATTTTCTTTCCAAAAATGAAATTTTAAAGCACAAGAAGTGTCAATTGCAACATCTGATCATATTTACTTTTGTTTGGTGATCAATATTCCAGATGTAGAAAAAGTTGCTTTCATTTTTTCATTGACATTTGTAAGTGGTTATGAGTATATCTGAAAGCATCTTCATATTGGACGTTAGGATGTAGATTGAATGATATAGTTTTCTTAAGGATAAAAATATTTTGGATACTTTGTTTAAATTTTGGTTTGCCTTGAAATCTATATTACTTTTACTTCAAATTTTAGATCAGTTTTGATTTCATTTCTAGCGTTCTACATTTTCTTCTCTTTGCATTTTTTCTGTTAAAGTATTTGTAAAGACTGAGGCCTATAGCAAATACTTGAACTGAGAAATGCCAGAGAATATTATTGGATAGTATTCAGAACTCTACATTACATAATCATGTGTTGAAAACTGCCAATTTAAGGACTTACTTGACCTCCAAAACCTGTTATTTCTTGAAGCACTGCTCATAAGATTTATATAAAGTATAAAATGCATACAATCTTAGTAATGTCATTTTTATAAGAAAGACCCAACATTAACCAATAGGGGCATGCACTCACACTTAAAACATGGCAACAACTGTTAATAAAACTAACAGAGTATATTGTGAGTACTGCTCTCCTATAAGCTTCTGTCCTAGTTCCTGGAGATGTCAGCCTTAACTGTTGGTGCTACTGTTCAGTGTTGCCTGCTCTTGCTTCCAGTTGACATTTGTCAATTCTTTTAAACCAGTAACAACAATATGTTAAATTGCTAAAATTTAATTCTCACATGAGAACTATACAGTAATTTTTTTGACTCACTTTTTTCTACTAATTGATTTTTCTTAGGATTTAGAAAAAGTAAGTTTTCCTTAGGAAACTCCAGAAGGGAATTTCTACATGGAAACTTACATAAACCAAGTGCAGCACTTATACATTGCTGGTGGGAATGCAAAATGGTACAAATGCTTTGGAAAATAATTTGACATTTTCCCATAAAATTAAATGTATACCTCCCATAAGATCCACCAGTTTTCACTTGTAGGCATTAAGTCAACATAAATTTATGTATCTACCCAATGACTTAAGATGCTCATAGAAGCTTTATTTATAGTAACCATAGAAATAAAAAAATAGGGCACATGTTGGCCATAAAGAGGTTTTAAAAAGTTTAAGATTTAAATTATACACAATATCTTCTTTAACCAAAGGAATGAAACTAAAATTATTTGGGTTTGTTTGTTTGTTTGTTTTGTACCAGGGATTGAACTCACAATCTCATGCTTGCCAGGCAGGCACTTGCGCCACTGAGGTAAACCTCCAGGCCTGAAACTAAAATTATTAATTGAAAGAAAACAGGAAGAATTTCAAATATGTATAAATTAAACAAAATATTCTTAAATACCAGTGCATCAAAGGAGAATTTACAAGGGAATTTAGAAAACATCTTGAGACAAATGAAAAGGAACATGCAACATACCCAATCATGTAGAATGCAAAGTATATAGTACTAAAAGGGAAGTTCACAGCAGAAAACTTACACATTAAAAAAAAATCCTGAAATCTACAGTCTAACCTTACATCTCAAGGACTTAGAAAAAGAATAAGCTTAAACCCTAAGTGAGCAGAAGGAAAGAATAAGACAAACACAGAGATACATTAACTATCACAAAAACAATAGAAAAATTAACAAAAAGCAGAAGTGGGTTTTTTTAAAAGATCAACAAAATTGACAATAAGAACAAAGAAAACTCAAATGTCTAAAATTACAAGTGAGAAAGGAAACTTTACAGATGTGACAGAACAGTTAGTCACTAACAAATTAAATTACCTAAAAGAAATAAATTTCTATAAACAAATCTCCCGAGACTGAACCATGAAAAATCCGAACAGACCTGTAACTACTGGGGTAGTAGAAGCAGTAGGCTAAGTCTTACTAACAGAGTGAGGCAAGGTTGCGCACACCTGTGGTCCCAACACTTAGGAGGCTGAATCTGGAGGATCGCCTTGAGTTTGAGGCCAGCCTGGACACCACGGTGCGTGCAAGCCCAGCCTGAATTACAGAGCAAGACTGCCTCGAAAGGAATAAGAGCCCTTTTAGCAAAAGTCTAATACCTAGTGGCTTCACTGGAGTATTCCTCCAAGCCCCAGCATTTAACACTAGTTAATAACAATCCTCAAACTGTTTCAAAGAACAGGAGAGAAAGGGAAACTTTCAGACTCATTCAAATTCATTACCCTGAAAATAAAATGAAGCACAAGGCAAGAAGATCATAAACCAATATCCCTGATGAATGTTGACCCAAAAAGTCTTAAGCCAAATACTAGCAGAACTGATTCAGTAGCGCATTAAAAAGACCATTCATCATGGGGCTGGGGATTTAGCTCAGCGGCATAAGTACCTGCCTTGTAAGCAGGCGGTCATGAGTTCGATCCCTGGAGCCGATAAAAAAAAAAAGAAAAAAACAAACGAAAAAGATCATACATCATGACCAGGTGGATTTATGGATTTAATACAAGGGTAGTTCACCATATATTAATCAATCAGTGTATATATCAACATTGCAATTGATAGAGAAAAGCATTTGATAAAATTTAATATCCTTACATGATAAAAAACAAAGCTCAACAAATGTAACAGAGAGAAATTGCCTCAACATATAAAAACTACTGGGCGGCTGAGGCAGGAGGACCATTGCAAGTTCAAAACAAGTCTGAGCTGCAAAGTGATTTCAAAAATACTTAAAAAAAAGTGCGCACACATGGGTGTGCACGTGTGCACACACACACACACTTAACATACTCCATTGGGAAAACTGAAAACTTTTCCTTTAACATGGGGCCACAAGGCAAGTTCACCACTGTTATTCAACACATTGCTGAAAATTCTAGCCAAAGTAATCAGACAAAAAGAAATAGAAGTCAACCAACTTGGAAAAGAAGAATTAAAATAATTTCCTTTCACAGATGATATAATCTCATATGTAAAGAAATTTGGATCAACATAGGTAAATCTTATAAGCACCGTGCTAAGTTAAAGATACCAGACACAATTACTAGAATCATTTTTATATTACTTCATTTACATGAGATTCTATTAAAGGCAAAACTATAATGACAGTAGATCAGTAGTTTTCATGAAAAATGAGACTACAGAGGGGCCTAAGTAAAGTTGGGGTGGTGTGTTAGTTTCCAAAATTTATCAATTGTACTATTAGACTTATTGTATTTCATTGTAATTAAGTAATATCTCAATACACTGACTAAATCTCCATAATTATTTCATAACATTACCACTTAGAAAATGAAACTCTAAAGATTCAGTATAGTGAAAATACCAATTATGAAAATAGAATAATTAAAACACTACAGCAATGGAATGAATGTAATAGCCCTATAACAGATACCTTCTCTTTTATAGATGTTTCTGTAACAGAAATGGTGTGATTGACCGGACAGATAGTGACTGACTTAAAGTCCAGTTGAGTTGTCAGTTAGGAAAAAAAAAAAGGGAGGGGGCTGCTATCTCTCATCAGTTTCTCCCCTCCAAATCTATTTTAGTTTACTTATTAAAGTTTTAGATGTGAAGGGCAAAGATGTAGTATTTTTTAGAAAGAGTATAGAATATCTCCATGGGAAGGATTTCTTAACTAGACACAAAAAACTACTGGCTATAAAGAAAAGGATTAACCAAATTGACT